TTGTTCAATTTCATTCCCAGCTATGTACTGTAATTTTTACTTGAAATAGTCCTTTGCCCAAACCAATTAAAATATCCTGATTAGGATCATTTTGATTAACAATTGCATAGTTGGAGATGAAATTGAACAAGTTTGGAAGTTAGTTGAAGGTCAAAATGGTGAAATCCTACAATCATTATTGTGTGGACCAAAGCCGTGTGGATCATATTTTGTATACTATAAAATAATGTACTTTTAGTATATTAAAAATGTACTTGTCTTCAGAGAAACTACATTATTTGAATACTAAAACTACACTATTTTATATCATCATGTACATTGAATACAAAAATAATTTACTTTTAATATATTAAAAATTTACTTTCTTTATGGTCCATACAACACTATGTGAACCATGGTCCACACAATAATTTGCCGAAATCCTAATAGACGATATGATGGATCAAATAGGGTATTAACGACAAATTATATCGTGCACCGCGGTGCATAATCGATTATGTACCGCGCATCAAAATGACGTCGTTTTGTTTAATGAAAAGAAACGGCATCCGTTTCTCGCCGTTCTGCACCCTTCCGCAAAAAGTAACTCTGTTATTCAGTTTCATTTTGTATACACTGTAGTTTCAGTTCAACACAACTATAGTTTCATTTCGATATAACTACAGTTTCATTCGATATTTATAGACTCAAATATGTGAAAATGTTATTTAATTTTATTTTATATACACTATACTTTTATTAAAATACAACTACATAATCATTTTTATATAATTACAGCTTCATTGTACAATATACACTCAAATATGTGAAATGTTATTCAGTTTCATTTTATATACACTGTAGTTTCATTTCACCACAACTATAGTATCATTTTGATATAACTGCTATTTCATTTGATAATATAAAAATAATACGTGAGGCAGTGTCGATTTAGATATATTGTAGTGTCAATTGGTAATTAACATACAAAAAAATGCGCGCTCCGTTAACACTAACGGCGCACCGTTTCTTTATTTAAAGCGGCATCATTTTGACCGCGGTGCACGTGCACCGCGGTCCACGATATAACAACCCGGGTATTAACTCGATCACCCCAAAATAACAAAGTATATATAAGTGCAATGCAAGAATTATTGTTGGGCCAAAATTGAGGACATAAAACAACTTAATTAGTTATCATCATATATATATGTAATTTTATCATGTCACAATCTATTGCTTTGCTGCACATCATACAAGCTGACTGATTTAAAACATTTATGACTCTAACTAAAGACATATTTATCACTCAGCGATAACTTCAGCCTTAACTTCATATATTTTACACATGTCAGGGAAACCAGAAAAAAAGTAGTGGGTTCCGCTTGCCAGTATAACAAAGTCGTGCCCTGAGTTCAACCTCGTCCCGGATGGAGTGCAAGAATCATAGTTGTTCTTATTCACAATCCACACATCCTGATAATTCTTGTCATAGTCAAACTCTGAAAAGCAATACAAAATAATAAAAAAATTTAGTTGTTAATTAATTAATTTGACCAAGAATATATTTGATTATTAAATAAAAACACTACTGGAAATTATAGAATTTCCGACCACCTGAAAGTGATCTTAAATCAAATTGATACCAAAAAGTGGTCGGAAATAGCAACAAAGATTTTTCCGGATATCAAAAGTGGTCGGAATAAGGCTTTCGACTTGATTTAAGATCACTTTCAGGTGGTCGGAAATTTCATAATTTCCAGTAGTGAAATTACCTAGAACATCACCAGTCTTAAACTTTTCGCCATTTGGCCAGCCATCCATGTATAGGCCCCAATGGCCGCCTGCAACCCTGATAGTTTCTGCATAAGCAAAACCGCACAACATTGCTATTATGGCAATGGCTGCAATTCTTTTCTGACCAAACATCTATCAAACAAATGAAAGATGAGACTATGAGAGCTTTCTTGTGATGAAACTTTAATTTGTCTTTGTACCTAGTAGTGAAATGAAGAATGCAATAAATAGTATGGGGACCATACTCCTATTTATAAGTGTAACGTTAGTTTAATTATGACAAGTTTTATTGGATTTGCATAATTTGGAATTTATGTGTAATTGGGTTATAAATAAGGATCTCAATCTTTGCACAACTGCTATGCCGTGGAATCGTATCCACGTTGCAAGGTTTACACGATTTCGAGTAACGGTGTCGTTATTGACACCGTTTTCCTCTACCAATCAGAAGTTTTTTATTTTAAATTTGTCGAAACAACTAAGCGAGACGTTGTGAATATAGAGTTTAAGAATTATGAATATAGAGTTCTATAATTATAAACATAGAGTATTCAGTACACAAATAATGCACATTTAGTATATTAAAAATGTACTTTTTGTTATGGTCAACACATCATTGTGAGGACCATGGTCCACACAATAATTTGCCTAAAACTCTGATGTGTAAACTTGTTCAGTTGGAGCTAGTAGGATGTTAACATTGTCAATTATTTAGAAAATGGTCCTACCGTTTTAGAGTCCATATGTAATTGTATTTATGATCACAACTTTGTAGTTAGGCCGCACAGGTCTGACAATGATGTAAGAACAATTTTGTTCAATAAAAAAATAATAGTATAATATTTGTAAAGTAGTGTACAATTGTACCATTATAAAAAAATACAAAAAATATTAATACCATAATGACCTAAATCATTCCAATAATGCAAAAGCATAATTGAAATATTAAGTTTTGTTCTAAATAATCAAAAGAAGATTAATTAAACGTTAAAAAAAAAAAAAACTTAATTAACCTAATTTTTTTTTTAATTCAAGAAAATGAAATGATTTTCAAAGTTCTTGGTTTATAATCTTTGATGCTCAACTTTGAATGCTATGTATTTAGTTAGGCTAATTATTTGACCAAAGTTTATGTTAAATTTTATATTATATTTTATATATATATATATATATATATATATATAATACATTTTAACATATTCATAATATATGTTTAACAATTATGCCAACTCTAATTGAGATTGAGTTCGAACCTAAGACCTTTCTTATATAAATTAATATATGTTAAGAATAATAAATAGTTAATGGAATATTCGGTTACTAAAGTTGATACTAACGGAATTTAGGGTTATTTAAGTGAAGAAAATAATATAATAGAGGGTAAATAAGAAAAATTATTAAAAAAAAAAACTAAAATCAAAATAATATGAACCATTCATTTTAAGAAATAACTACTACCGACATTTTTTTGTTCCAGTTAAGGACCTAATATTATTGGCTATTATTAGCTTTGTAGATTTAATTACAAAACTAGACACTGTGACAAACTGACAATTATTGTGGGTGTGGATGTTAGGAGGGAGATCCACTGAATTAAGTTTGATAACTTAAATATGGTGACATTAATTGATACTATAATTTTATAATTTATTAATTTCACATTTGAGTCTAATTCTGTCAATCTAAGTATTTTTTTTAGAGATCCTTTATATCTATAGGTAAATTGCATTTTAGTCCTTCAATTATTCTTCTTTGAGTCATTTTAATCCCTGATTTTTTGTTGTTATAATATATCCCATAAAATTTTTAAGAAAGTTACATTTTTAGTCTTTAAAGCAGCGAAATAATTAAAGTTTAGGATTTTTCGTTAGTGTTAGTACTTTAGTAATGGAAAATGCTGTGTTTTCCTCCAAAATTATCATATTAAAATTTCTCGATCATGACTTATAATCATTGAGTGTAATAAATTGGTTTTAAAGAAATTAAATAAAAAACATAAACTTTAAAACATATTTATTTTTAACAAAGAATGAAGTTGATCGATGAGGGCATAATTGACAAATATTACATAATTTTTACAACCCCGAAAGAGTTAATACCTAATTTGGTCCCTCAATTATTAGGATTTCAATTCACCACTTTGGTCCTCGACTTACAAACTTGTTCAATTTCATTCCCAGCTATGTAATTTTTACCTGAAATAGTCCTTTGTTCAAACCAATTAAAATAATCATGATTAGGATCATTTTGATTAACAATTGCATAGTTGGAGATGAAATTAAACAAGTTTGGAAGTTGACGACCAAAACAGTGAAATCCTACAATCATTATTGTGTGGACCATATATTGTATACTATAAAATAATGTATTTTTAGTATATTAAAAATGTACTTTGTATTAAGAGAAAATACATTATTTGAATACTAAAAATACATTATTTTATATCATCATGTACATTCAGTACACAAATAATATACTTTTAATATATTAAAAATGTACTTTCCTTTATGGTTCATACAACACTATGTGAACCATGGTCCAGACAATAATTACCAAAATCCTAATAGACGATATGATGGATCAAATAGGGTATTAACTCCATCACCCCAAAATAACAAAGTATATATAAGTGGGCAAATTATGTTGTGCATCCGTATGCACCATGCATGGTGCATACGGATGCCAAAACGACGTCGTTTTAATAAAACGCGCGTCTCCCCTTAAAAAAAAAAAATCAGGTTCGATTCCCAGCAACAACATATGAACTAAAATTCCATAATCGATGAACTATAATTCCATAATCGATGAGCTATAATTCCATAATTTAATCTATGAACTAAAAATTCCAGAATGAATGAACTAAAATTTCATAATCTATAAACTAAAATTTCAGAATCGATGAACTACAATTCCATAATCGATGAACTATAATTCCATAATCAATGAACTATAATTCCATAATCTATGAACTAAAATTCCAGAATGAATGAACAATATAATGTTGTTGCTGGGAATCGAACCTGAATTTTTTTTAAAGGGGAGACGCGCGTTTTTTAATAAAACGACATCGTTTTGGCATCCGTATGCATCATGCATGGTGCATACGGATGCACAGCATAACGATTGATATAAGTGCAGTGCAAGAATTATTGTTGGGCCAAAATTGAGGACATAAAACAACTTAATTAGTTCTCATCATATATATGTAATTTTATCATGTCACAATCTATTGCTTTGCTACACATCATATAAGCTGACTGATTTAAAACATTTATGACTCTAACCAAAGACATATTTATCAATGAGCGATAACTTCAGCTTTAACATCATATATTTTACACATGTCAGGAAAACCAGAAATAAAGTAATGGGTTCCTGTTGACAGTATAACATAGTCGTGCCCTGAGTGCAACCTCGCCCCGGATGGAGTGCAAGAATCATAGTTGTGCTTATTCACAATCCACACATCCTGATAATTCGTATCATAGTCAAACTCTGAAAAGCAATACAAAATAATAACAAATTTTAGTTGTTAATTAATTAATTTGCCCAAGGCCAACTATAATGCCGTTTGATGGCATCCTGGTTATCCATTCAAGTGGATGGTCAAAGGTTCGAACCCCGATGATTCAGACTAAGATTTTTCGGGCTAAAAATATTTAAAAAAGTATAGAACAGATATTACCTTGCGAACAATCATAAATACTTCAAAAAATTAATTAATTAATTTGACCAAGAATATATTTGATTATTATTAAATAAAAATAACATTTTTGTACCTAGAACATCACCAGCTGTAAACTCTTCGCCATTTGGCCAGCCATCCATGTTAAGGCCCCATTCGCCGCCTGCAACGATGATAGTATCTGCATAAGCAAAACCGCACAACACTGCTATTATGGCAATGGCGGCTGCAATTCTTTTGTGACCAAACATCTATCAAACAAATGAAAAATGAGAGCTTTCTTGTGATGAAACTATGTCTTTGTACCTCGTAGTGAAATGAAGAATGCAATAAATAGTATGGGGACCAGACTCCTATTTATAAGTCGTAACGCTGGTTTAATTATGACAAGTTTTATTGGATTTGCATAATTTGGAATTTGTGTGTAATATAATTGGGTTATAAATAAGGATGACAATCTTTGCACAATTGTTATGCCGTGGAATCGTGTCAAGGTTGACACAATTCCGAGTAACATGTCATTAGTGGCATCGTTCCTCCACAAATCAGAATTTTTTATTTTAAATTTGTCAAAACAACTCAGCGACCTTGTGAATATAGAGTTTAAGAATTATAAATATAGAGTTCTATAATTATTAACATAGAGTTCTATATGAACATAGAGTTTTGTAATTGTGAATATACAGTTCAATAATTGTGAATATGGAGTTCAAAACTTATGAACATAGAGTTCAGTAATTATGAACATAGACTTTTAGAGTTCAAATTAAAAATTATGAACATAGAGTTCTGTAATAGTGAATATAGAGTTCAATAGTTGTGAATATGAAGTTAAAAAAATTATGAACATAGAGTTCTATATTATGAACATAGACTTCATGAAGACAAACGTCGTTAACGGTGAAAGAAAATAATTTTTTTTAGTTGATACGGCGTCGTTTTCCACCAAAACGGTGCTGTTTTAATTTGGAACTGTATCCACAGCATAATTTGCCATCTTTGAATGAACTTGATGGGCTTGTTCGATAAAATCAAAAAATTTAGGGTTTGGCCCAAAATATTTTATCCTGATAAGCTTGGTGCTTGTTAGGAACTGTAATTTAGATTTTGATAATATCAAAGTTTGGAAATTTTAGTCCCCAATTTATTTTATTTTTAGACTTAATTAGGAGCTCAATTTTTTCTGATCGAATAGTTCAGATGGTAACTCGAATAGTTGCATATCTCTGGTGATCGGAAGACAAGCTTCGAAGAGTTAAAAAAAAAAAAATAAGAGTACTAGTCGAAGAGTAGAAGTTGAAGAATTCGAGACCGAAAGGTTGAAAAAGGCCGAAGAGTGGAAGGTTGCACATTTAGTAATAACATTTTGCATATTTAGTATTAAAAGATTGTTATAATAATATTATTATTAATATTATTAGTAATTAAACCAAGTCAAAGAATTTAATAAAAACAAACATGGGTGAGTCATGTATGTTAATGTGGAACATGCCTAGATTATAGGAGTAGTACATGGAGCATTAGCTTCCTATTTATTAGCTTTCTCTTAGTATAAATATGTGGTGTATTTTCATTTGTTAAATCATCCCAGTGAATAAACATTATTCATTCTAATCTTCCTCTCTCTCTCTCTTCCTATTTATATATTATTATATATAAATACATAGATATATTATATATAATATATATTATATTTAATATATCTTACATTTGGTATCAGAGCCAGTCAACCTTTCAACCCCGAAATATTTCCCGTAGTAAAATATGGCAACAAATTTCAATATTGTATGGTCGGGTCCCAAATTGGACGGGAAACTCGATTACAATTATTGGCAAATTATGATGTCCACACATTTGCAAGCTCAAAATCTTTGGAGCTTTGTTGATCCCGGTCTACCCGAAGGAACTGATGCAGCCGCTATACGGCGAGATAAATTGGCCTTGGGTCAGATTCACTAAGGTGTTCATTATTCCATTTTTGGGCAATTAGCTCGTGCTCAAACAGTAAAACAAGCTTGGGACATCTTAAAGGTGTCACACAAAGGAATCGATCGGGCGCAAAAGTCTAAGTTGCAGTCGTTGAGAAGGTTGTACGATAATTGTGAGATGACCTCTACAGAAACAGTAGATATGTATTTCACTCGTCTTATTGATATGGTGAATAAGATGAGGTTATACGGAGATACAATTGAAGATGGTGCAGTGGTTGAAAAAGTTCTACGAACTATGCCGATGAAGTATGACCATGTGGTGGCTTCAATAACAGAGTCACACAAAACCGAGCTCTTATCAATTGCAGAGCTGAAGGTATGGTAGAAAGTCATATTGACAGGATTGCGTCAAAATCGGAGCCACTAGCTGAAGAAGCTTTGAAGAGTCAAGTCACCCTTAATGTGACTGGCACTAATCAAAGAGGTGGAGGATCTAGTAGAGGTCGTGGAAGAGGAAGAGGAGGTTCTAGTGGAAGAGGTCGTGGTAACTCCAACCAAGGAAGAGGTGGAGGTAATACCAAACAAGGTAAATTTCCATTTCATTGCTACAATTGTGGCAAGTATGGACACAAGATTGCAGATTGTTGGTATAATGAGGACAACAATCGTGGAAATCAAGCAAACATTGCTGAAAACACTGCTGAAAAGTCTGGTGAGAGTTCTGAAACCTTACTTTTTGCCAGCAATAGTTTTTCTACAGATAAGAACATATGGTTCTTGGATACTGGGTGTAGTAACCATATGTGTGGGAAGAAAGAATTGTTTTCCGAACTAGATGAATCAGTCCGGTCTGAAGTAACGTTTGGCAATAAGTCAAAGGTGCCAATTTTGGGAAAAGGTAAAATCTCTATTCAGTTGAAGGATGGTACTCACAATTTTATATCCGATGTGTTCTATGTTCCTGAACTACACCAAAATTTGTTGAGTATGGGTCAGTTGTCAGAAAAAGGATATAAGATAGATATTGCTCATGGGTGTTGTACCATTGCAGATGCTAAAGGAGTCTTGATTGCAAAGGTAAATATGTCCCAGAATCGACTATTTCCTTTGAAAATTAAGCATACTCTCCTTGCTTGCTTTAATTATGAAGTTTGTGATGATAATTGGTTATGACATATGCGATTTGGGCATTTCCATTTCTCTGGATTACACTATCTTGCGAGAAAGGAACTTGTTTCTGATTTACCTGTTGTGAATGTCCCTGATCGTATATGTGAGATTTGTGTGATTGGGAAGAAGCATAGAGATCCCTTCCCTGTGGGCAAGTCAAGGAGAGCTACAAAACAGTTGGAGATTGTTCACTCAGACCTGTGTTCGTTGGAGGTTCCCCCACATGGAGGTTGTAAGTGCTTTATTACTTTCATTGATGATTTCAGTAGAAAAACATGGGTTTACTTTCTGAAGCAAAAGTCTGAAGCACGTGATGTTTTCAAACAATTTAAGGCTTTTGTTGAGAAGCAAAGTGGTTATGAAATTAAAATCTTGAGAACTGATAGAGGTACAGAATATATTGCTTGTGATAATTTTCTGAAAGAAAAGGGTATTCAGCACCAAATGACAGCTAGATACACTCCACAACAAAACGGAGTGGCTGAGAGGAAGAATAGGTCAATCATGGATATGGTGAGGTGCATGTTGAAATCCAAGGATCTGCCTAAACCTTTTTGGGCAGAAGCTGTTGCTTGTGTTGTCTATGTGTTGAATAGGTGTCCAACTAAGAGTGTCCGTGATATGACACCTGAGGAAGCTTGGAGTGGGAAGAAACCCTCTATAAGAAATCTTAAGGTTTTTGGATGTTTGGCATATGCACATGCGCCAGATCCATTGAGAAAGAAATTGGATGATAAAGGTGAGAAGTGCATATTCATTGGTTATAGTGACGCTTCAAAGGCTTATAAACTATACAATCCTGAAACTAAGAAGGTTGTTATAAGTCGTGATGTCACTTTTGATGAATATGGTGCCTGGGATTGGTTAGCTAAAGATGAAAGTTCAGTTGTTATTCCTGTTGTTGAAAATATTGTTTATGAGCAACCGATTCCAGATAATGTCCAGTCTCCTTCACAGCCAGAACCGCCAGTTCGACGATCTCAGCGCGAGCGCCACTTACCAGCTTGCTTGCAAGATTATGTTTTGGGTCATGATAATGACTTGTCTGATGAAGAGATTATTCAATTTGCTCTCTTTGCAGATTGTGATCCTTTAACTTTTGAGGAGGCTGCTACAGAAACTCATTGGCTTAAGGCGATGGATGAGGAGATACGTGCCATTGAAAAGAATGGTACCTGGGAGTTAACAGATTTACCTCCTGGGAAGAAGCCAATTGGAGTAAAGTGGGTTTACAAAACAAAATACAAGTCAGTATATCCAACTTGAAGACGGAGACATTTTTCAAATTGAAGAAGGAAATTGGAATGACCAATACATCCAACTTGGTTTAAAGGAGGCAATGTTATAATAATAATATTATTAGTAATTAAACCAAGTCAAAGAATTTAATAAAAACAAACATGGGTGAGTCATGTATGTTAATGTGGAACATGCCTAGATTATAGGAGTAGTACATGGAGCATTAGCTTCCTATTTATTAGCTTTCTCTTAGTATAAATATGTGGTGTATTTTCATTTGTTAAATCATCCCAGTGAATAAACATTATTCATTCTAATCTTCCTCTCTCTCTCTCTCTCTTCCTATTTATATATTATTATATATAAATACATAGATATATTATATATAATATATATTATATTTAATATATCTTACAAAGATTGCACTTGTAAAAATATGAAAGTGCATTCCACTTAGTGTTTCGATTTTAGAGTTTAGGACAAAGTTTTTCATTTTATTTGGTCTAGTGGTTCACTTTTTTCTGCTTAGGTCCTAAGTGTAAATGACTATGGTCCTAATCGTAAATGGCTACGATCCTAACCGTTGGTGTTCATATAGCTTGTTGGAAAAATAGCATTAAAAAGGCATTTTAAGTGGCTATTTTGTTGTACAATTATCAGTGGTGCCCACTTCCGATTAGGGGGAGGGGGGGGGGGGGGGGGGGGGGGGAGTGCAAATCAAATCTCAAATTGAGATCGAAAAGGTTTGATTCAAGTCTAAGCTCGTGTGTGCCGGCACCTGCGGGCACGAATGTCGTCCGGAAATTGGTTGGCCTTGCGGGCTAAGTTATGTCAAACTTCCGGTATCATTTTTCTAACGCAAAGCCACTGGTTGGCGACCATGGTCTAATGCCGAAATTTCGACCTTGGAGGTCGAAAGTTGGCCTTGGCTGAGACCATAGTCCAAGGTCGTCGAAA